GCAGAAAGACATGGACAGAAAGAAACAAGCAGGAAGGAACCAACAAAACAAAGAAACAAGAAATATAAGAAAGGAAGGAACATGAAGATATAAACAGAAAGAAAGAAAGGAAGAAAGTGGAGGGGAAAAACAGAAAGAATGATGGAAGAGGAGGAGGAAACAGAAATGTAAAAAAAGGGAAGAAAGGAAAAAATAAACAGAAAGAAGGGATCAAATAAACAAAAAAAACAAGCAGAAAGAAAGAAAAAAGAAAGGAGCTGAAACAAAAGAAAAGAGTGAGTGGTTACATGATAGAAGTGTTGAATTCCATCAGTCCAGTGATCCATGCAGAGAGAGAGAGAGAGAGAGAGAGGGGGGAACAGCAGGCCGAGCCTCCTCTTGTTTCATTCCTCCCTTCCTCAAACCTCACGAGTGTGTTGGTTCATTTTGAAGGATTTTCTACTGGAACAATATAGGCTTTGTTGAAGGTAACAAACAATGACCCCTAAAACACGCACACACACCATTATGATGTGCCCACTCAAACAAACACTGAACCTATGAATTTTTTTTTTAATCGGATTGAGTACTTCTGTCTGTATGTGGATGTACAAGCACAGGGAAGTCGGTGAGGTTGGATGATTATTGCATTTTAATTTTCTTCCACAACACACACACACACTCTCCCAATGAGCTGCTCGTCCTGCGGATTTAAAGGTCGGCCGTTATGCGACTGCTGGAGCAGTGCAGCGATCTGATTGGATGAGCTTTTGGAAGCAAAAGAAGATCTAATCTAGCTGTGTCTGATCTGATGAGTTGTGTACGTGTGTGTGTGTGTGTGTGTGTGTGTGTGTGTGTGTGTGTGTGTGTGCATGTGGAGTGACCTGTCACTGGCTATCTGTGTTATGTCGACTGCATTAGAATGAACACTGACCCAAATCTCACAGACAAACACACATGCTCACCCACCAAAAGATTGAAAACCTTTAGCATCTACATTATACGTTGTCTGTTTGTCTCGCACAAAGCTGTTTTTCAGATCTTTCTGTGAGCGCAGTGGTCTTTTCCCTGAAGGTTCAGCCCGGAGCTGTTGGCTACTGTGGCTAACTCACTCAGCGAGGCGTCTTTTCCTTCTGCTCTTTGTTTCAGTTACTCATCAATCAGAGACTCGAGGGAAACAGCACTGGGCTCTGCCGACTGAAACGTAAAATGTTACTGCTTAAAAATATTCGCTTTGAAAGCCTGACTCAGCTGTGGTTGTGAACATTTGAAGTGTTCATTGAGGTCTGGATTCTCTCATTCTGTGAGACGTGATGGGAGAACGTCAGCTCAATCAGGGCCTGTCGTGTTGATTTAACAAGTCAAGTCAAGTCACATTTATTTATATAGCGCTTTTCACAATACAGATTGCATCAAAGCAGCTTCACAGTGATAACATGAAAGTAGTACAACACAGTTCAATAATATTGTTGAATATTAAATATCCCCAACTAAGCAAGCCAAAAGCAAGGCGACAGTGGCAAGGAACCAAAACTCCATCATTTAACAGCTGGATGATCATATTCGAAAATATGGTACAAAAACCCGAGACATGCTGCTGAATATTCAACGCTTCCTTTGAAACTGAACTATTCTTCAGTCCTGAATGTTAGAATCTTTAGTATTTTGGAAATAGGGAGATTAACTATGATTTTCCAAGTATCTTAAGCCACTGTTTTGAATTATTTATTATTATTAATATTATGAATGATAATCATAATAATAAGACAATTCCATACAATGATTTAAAAGACTTGGATAATGATAATGATAATAAAATAATAATAACATTATTACAAAATGTATTATTATTATTTCCTTCTCATTTCCTCTTACCGTTTTAATTTTTGCTTTATATAATATATATATTATACTAATATATATTACTGTTGTCAAATCGATCACATATATAAGTAACATAAAAGTTTGTTTATATAATATGTGTGTGTGTATGTGTGTATATATATATACACATATTATATAAACATTACAATATTTGACAGTATATATATATATATATAATTATTATATTTTATAATGTATCAGCCATTTAATCAGCCTGGTGGATATATTGGACTATCACTATAACTCATTGCAAAACTATGAAATGAAAATCTTGGCCAAAAATACTTTAATAATACTGTGTTTTTCTACTTCAGGGATTGTGTGCATGTTTGAGAAAAGATGAGGCAGGCATGAGATGGCTCCATGATGGCAGAAGAATGAGCTTACAGCTACAAACAAACACTGATACACACACACACACACACACACACACACACACACACACACACACACACACACACACACACACACAGAGAGGCAGATGGTAAATCCCCAACCCCTTCACATTTTTTAATGTGTGTTTACACCTTGTTTTAAATCTAAATCATGTTAATCTCCCAGCATGGTCATCTGGGATTTATGTGTTTGTGTGTTGTGTTTACGGTATATTCTTTTTTAGAAATACCTGCTGTGTTCTCAGTAATGATTTTGCACTTCTTGGAATTCAGTTCGACATGAGTCTGTCTAGAAATGAAGAGTCTATTCAATCCATGCAGAAATTTCTTTCTTTTTTTTGTGCACAGAGGCAGGAAACTATTAAGACCAAAACGTTCTGAACAGTTAAAATCCAGCAGTGATGTAGTGACAACAGAATGTGGCCGCAAAAAATGCTTCATAGCCAGTCCATCCCATTGCTAACAGTACACAGGGTGGGATTACCCTGCCTGTCTGGAATGTCTGTTGTGTTTTAGCCTGAAGTGAGAGTGTGCTGGAGTCAGGGTGGTGTGTGTGTGTGTGTGTGTGTGTGCGTAGAGCAGCACCGTGTGATGCTATTCCGTGGTTGGCACGGTGACAGGTTGGCATGGCGCTACCGTAAGGAGACTGGCACTCTGCCTACTGCCATACATCTCAATCTGCATGACATCATAGCAGCTCCTAGCAACCACACACATCACCCCTCCCCCATACACGCCCACAAAGGACCATTCACAATCACTGTGCCCTGGCCTTTCTCCCTCACTGGAGTCTCTCGCAGCTCTTTCCTAACAAGGATACATACTTCTGCTACAAGTTTCATGAAGCCAATACTGGTCCAAAGAATGATAACTAGATTCTTGCTCTTTAAGTGATGATAATGTTGAAATTGAAAGCAAGAAAGTCGGTATTCGCGGGATCCAAAAAAAACAAAAAAACAAAGAGGGAGCCTAACATTTTTAGGGAATAAAATATTTAAGCTTTTTTTAGCTGACAAATCACAGAACCTGTCATTAATGCAGTCACCTGATTATATGCGTTCCATTATAAATATCACTCTGTTTTGAAAAAATATTTATGTCTGTTTGAAAAAACATGTCATCTACAAAACTTTTTTGTGAAAATGTATGTTTAATTACTAGTAATGGTTCATGGTTCATTTCAAATCAGCCATAACTGAAAAATAATTTACAGTTCAGTGAGGGAGTTCATTGCAATATCCGTAACGACTCTCAGCGATGCACACAGAACTAGTGATTCTGATCAATCTGCTTACTCACAAGCAAGATCTTTTTAAAAGCAAACTGGTTCATAAGAGTCATTAGTTAGCAAAATGGATATTACAGTTCGCTCAGATGTAATTTGTCATTTTTGGCTGTCGTAAGTGGCTAAATTTTAAATTATAGTCACAGCTTTTTTCTGTTTTGTATTTTCGACTCTTTTAGTTGTAGTCTGAGCGAGGACCTTATTTGCTGTTCCATTTGAAGGAAATTATGTTTAATGCACATGATATATTTCTGTTAGCTTTAGAATGTTTTAAAACAGATACTCGTAGTGAACTACGCCTTACTCCGTTATTCGGTGCGAACACAGTACGTACACTGTTACTACAAAATGCACGAGTGTGTGAAATGAGACACACCTTTTGTCTTTATATTATTCCTTGATTAACTTGAGCAATCAATGAGGAAACGCTCCTAAATTAAAATGATCTTCTTGTTTGAAGTGCAAAAACTTTTCCGGAAAAAAACATTCCTAATTGTAAGTGACAAAGCCAGTGAGGAACTCTTAGTCTGTGTGATAGCTGTAAATGAGTGCGCATTTTAGTGAATAAGCATATTTTCTTATGTTACCTGTTCTGTAGTTCTTCATTAGTGCTTACACTTACACAAGTACACACTTCTCACTCACACCTCTTAATGAGCACAAACTAATAGAAGCTAATAATGTGTATGTGTGTGCGCGTGACCTTGTGCGAGTGTAATTGGGGGTTAAATTGAATGATGGTGGATTACCCGCTGTGACAATATCGGTTTATTTAACTACATAATGGGAGTGTGTGTTTGTGCATTTTGTATATATCCGTGTGTCTCTTTTTCAGAGCTAACTCACTTTCTCAAACTTACCTCTTTCTCAGACACATAGCAGAGACGCAACAGGGCCCTCACTGCATTGTGGCATATTTTTCAAACTCACAAGGATCATTCTGTAGAAATCGTTGAGGCTTTTGGGCCTACGAAAGAAAAAGAGAAAATTCATACACATGGCTTTTCTTACTGCATTGCTCTCTCTCTCTCTCTCTCTGTGTGTGTGTGTGTGTTTGTGCATTCCCATGGGATCAGATTACTATCATAGGGACTAGTAACAGGAGAATACACTGAGCTTTTTTCATCTTGTCCATATTCTGAGACACACACACAAACGTTAGTTTGTTTTTGGATGTTTCTAAGGTAATATTAAGTTGCAATGTCTGATTTAAGGGCAGAATGAGCATTTCCTTAGCCAAAGACTATGTGTGTATATGTGTTTGCATGTGCTTGTGTTTTGCGTGTGATTTATAGAGGTAAATTAGGGTTTCTTTTTCCTGCTTTGGTTTGCAGCAAGAACTCCAATCAAACGTCCTAAAAATGTAAACCTAATTCACCCCAACAATCACTAAACCCCTCTCTGTCTCTCTCTCTCTCTCTCTCTCTCTCTCTCTCTCTCTCTCTCTCTCTCTCCAGCAACTTCTAATGGAACACAGGAAGGGTTGGAAAACAGAGAAGGTGGAGTTTGTAGCACGAGATCTATGAAGATCATCATGAAAGTGGGCCAAGGTGAGTCACACACACACACACACACACACACCTTCTTTATCTTCAGCATGTCCAAAGGTAAAGTTATTTAAGCCCCATTTGGTGAATGATTAAGTCAGCTGACTCATTAACCACCAATTAGATTGTAGTTGAACGTGATCCAAGTTAGCAAGTTAGTTTCTGACTCTAGGATTTGTACTCTACTCTAAGGCGCCTGTCTCGTCACCAGAAACTGGACATTTTAAAATCTAAAGGAATACATTCAAACATATGCTGTACTGAAATTGATTTCCTTGAATGTTTTTTGTTCTTAATTTGTTATGTATGTGATTTTATGTTTCAGATCCAAATGCACCAGATCCAGATTTAACGGACCTCCCAGACCGGGACCAGGACAATGAGATCAAGGACCCCACAACCAGCCCTTCCCGCAAGATAGACCGAGGCAGAGAGAGAGACATAGATGGGAACGGATCCATAATGCCCGACAGAGGTGAGGAAACACAAATCATCTGTGTTTACGTCACTTGGTTTGGGAACATGATGGGGGTTTTCCTACAAATGACATTGGGTATTCAGAGGACAAACTGATCTAAGTTCAGCAGTGAAGGTCTACCACAGTAAATTTCACCAAGAAAACCAGCAGATGAAATACAGCAATGCAGAGCTACTGCCTCCCTCAGGCAGGTGTGTGTGTGCAAGAGAGAGACAGGAGTTAATGTAGCATGTCTTTATCACGTCCTAGCAGCCATTAACCTACGGGAGGTCTAAACTTCATTAGGAGAGAAAGAAAGAAAGAGAGAAACAGAGACAGAATCATTAAGAAAGAACAGAGGGACTCATGCTGCATCTCTGCAGTGATCACACCACACAGATTCTTGAGGTCAGGTTCTTCTGCTCCGAGAGGACACTCAGACATTAACTGCTATTACATCTCAAAATTGGCTAGTCGGCGGGTTATCTGAACAACTAGTCGACTAATTGGTATAATTAAGTGAGGTTCAGGATCAAATGACTCCATTTGGACATGCTTACATAAGATTTAAAAAAATAGCTAGACAAACAAAATAAACCAGAATGCAAGGGTTTTATGGCACATTTGTTACAGTTAAAGTCGGCATAATATGTAAATTCACTATCTATTTTCTATTAGCATGTTATTGATATTATTGTGAAAGATTCAGCCGTTTCATTTTTTTTATTTCTACAAAAATATTAAGCAGCACAACTGTTTTCAACATTGATAATAATAAGAAATGTTTCTTGAGCAACAAATCCGGATATTAGAATGATTTCTGAAGGATCATGTGACACTTGACACAAGACTGGAGTGATGATGCTGAAAAATCAGCTTTGACATCACAGAAATAAATTACATTTTAAAATAATTGTAATAATATTGCTGTTTTGACTTAGTATTTTCGATCAAATAAATGCAGCTGTGGTAAGGATTAAAATACTTATTTTAAAAACATTAAAAAAATCATACTGACCCCAAACATTTGACCGGTAGTGTAGAGATTTAACCTTACTAAGAATGACAAGTTGACCATCGTGAACCATCCCTACTATTAATCCATGAATTCTTCTTAAATTTTGTTTGTAAGACATTGTAAATGCAAGGCAAGTTTGCAGTGCTAACAGTTTTGTACATGCTGGACTACCGTTTGGAAGGATTATTCCAGTCTGGGTGTGTGTTGTTTAGCTTCATACTGCTGTTAAATATACTTGACAACGTGGATTTTATTGTCAAGCAAAAATGTGTATTCATAACGCCTATTTAGCTTCAGGAGACATCGGTAGCTGTTTCAGCTGAGAGCGCAACAATAAACACAGCAACAGTTTTATTCACTTTAATAGTTGCTCAGTGCCATTGCTAACAAACACAAAGTTTTGTTTCTACAGCCATTGTCTGTTATCTTTGCCTCTGACAACAGAGCGCGACTCTAAACACTGATAATCAGTGTGTGTGTTGCTAACATAATCTTTAACAATAAATTACAATGAAAAAGAAAAACGAGTGTGCACCATTCATAACGTGTCTTTCTTTTTCCCTCTCAGACACGAGAAACCAGGATAACAGTCCTGGTTCAGTGGAAGGCATTTTTGGCTCTAAACCAGCTCTCTTTGCTGCCATTGGAGCCGGCTGTGTCATCTTCCTCCTCATCATCATCATCCTCATCGTCTTGCTCCTCAAGCTTCGCAAAAGAACCCGCAAGCACTCGCAGCCCAGGGGCGGGACTGCCCTGTCACTCAGCACTCTGGCCACGCCCAAAGGATCCGCCCAGGCTGGCTCAGAACCCAGTGACATCATCATCCCCCTGCGGACATCAGAGAATAACTACTGTCCACACTATGAAAAAGTGAGTGGTGACTATGGGCACCCCGTCTACATAGTGCAGGAAATGCCACCCCAGAGCCCTGCCAATATCTACTACAAAGTCTGAGAGAACGAGAACGAGAGCGAAGCAACCGCAATAAGAACCTGTTTTTGTAAGGTATTCTGACTCTTTTTTTCATTACCTAACCCCGTCTGCTCCGCGTGCAAGAGGATGGAGAGGGAGAAGTGGAAAGGAGGAATGAAAAAGACTACGTGGATGATATTCCTCTCAGATTTCCTTCCCTCCATCCCTTTTCCGAACACTACACTGTGTGTATGTGTGTGTGCCGGTCGCTCTCGATGTGCGTGAAATGGTAGAAAACCTCCCCAAGTTGCGTGGCACTCAGGCACGGACTTCACTGCTGAAGAACAGCCGACAACCAATCACAGAAGGACACTACAGTGACATCACAAAGCAGGAAGCTCTCATTCGTGTGTGGTTTTTGTACCTTTACAACCCTTTGCTTAGTTTTTGCCTCTTTTTCATCTCTCACTCCATCAGTGTTTTGTTTTTATCAGTATCAATCCAATTCTTGCAGCTTTCACAGTCTCGCTCAAAGAAATGTCTTAAGCACTGTTACTAATGCCGATCTCTTTTTCACACACTCAGTATGTCCTCTCATCTCATTTCCTAGCGTCTCTCCAGACACTCATTCATTGTACATGCTGTAGAGGCAATTGAACAAAAACACACTGACACTCATACATACACTTTGGTGTTCATGGGTCAGTAACAAACAGCCTCTCGGTGGAAAAGTGAGTGAGTGAAATAGGGAATTTAATATGTAAACACCAGTGTCAGACCTTCCAGAACTCCCAGTCTGCTTTTTGTTCATTTAAGAAACAGTTCAGTTGAAATCCTCTCTCCTCTCAGCCGAAGACAAGTAGATATCCGTTGTCAGTGATGCGTGAAGTGCTAATATTTGTATTTCGCCATTATTTTTTATTTCCAAAGGTTTGTAGGTCAAAAAAAATCTTAAGTGATTTGCCTCTACACCATGAGCCTATGACCTCTTTTCAGTCACAAAACATGCTAACGCATATCTTTGCATAATTTAGTTCACTAACGTCTTTTTTTGTGTGTGTATAATTCATGTCTCGCTGTTTGGATGTAGACGTGGACTCTAACCAGTATGACCGTGTGTATGTGGAGTACCATGCAGAAGCCAAAAATCCATCGACATACATGTGAAATTATGCCTTCACCTCTCCATCCTCTCAGATATGCACATAAAATATCCCTGTTTGCATACAAACACACGCAGAAAAAAAAACCCGTAATCATCTACGAATCCTGGAAAATCTAGTGCTAGATCTATTTTTATATGGACTGCACGTGAAATGATAAATAGTAAACAGTGGCGGCAGGTGTGTTTACGCCTATGCTAATTTAAAATTAGCAGCATTTGCATCTGGCCTCCAGCGCAGCCAATCAGAGGAAGCCCGATATTTCTCTGTAGCTTTCTCGTAAAATAGATTTTTGAAATTATATTTCGATTAGGGTTTATTGCTTTTGTCTTTTGTTGTCAATTCCTCTTAATTTAGTTTCTAAAGCCCGAGATTATGTAAATAATGTATGTTGGGAAAAAATGTTGAATATAAAGTTCCATTTTATTATAGACCCTGTTAATTAAAATATAATTAGGATTTTTGAAAGTGCAAAAGCTTTTGTAAATAGTCTTTTTGAAAAAAAAAAAAGACATTTTGTAAGTAAAATGTTTCCTGTCTCATGGTTTTCTCTTTTATTTTAAATTGTTTTTTCGTTTCGGTTGGTTTTTGATTAAGGAGACTTAGAGGTCCCTGTAGAACGGGTTTTAAAAGGTCAGCCTAAAGAAGCATAAAGACATGCAAGTCCCTTCACATACACACACGCACATACACACACTTTATCCTCCCTATTACACAAGGGAATGATGGTATTTTTGTTTTGTTTTGTTTCATTTTTACAAATGCTGTGATTGAACCAGGTCAAATATTCCATGACCTGGTTCAAGGAGGAGGAAAAGAGGTGAGAGAGACAGTTATTACTCAAGAAATGCTTAAATACACACTCACACACACACTTACAGACTGACATACCATTCTTATAGCACACAATATACATACAGTATATATAAACACCATTAGATACAGGGCAAGCACCAGCAAACTACATTAAACAATTTTTTTAAACCAGCAACAGCTTGTGCAACTAAACTGAATATTTATGTATGTTTGTCTGAGTGTTTATGGCAGATCAGGTCTTTACGATTGACATTAGAAGAGCACTTTTTGAAATTCATGGCTTTGTTTTTACCATTGAAATGCAGGGGTGTACTGACCAGTCAGCTTGTGAAAGCGAACAAGTCGAAGTATTGCACTGCAAAAAAAAAAAAAAAAAAAATCAGTTTTTAGATATTTTACTTTTTTTTTTTTTTGCAGTGCATAAGAAACAGTTACCCCAATTTTGGCATCTCTGTACATTATTTAACAGCAAAAGCTATGAATAGTTTGTGTAGTTTATGGATCAGCACTGCTGTGGTGGGAACTTATTCAGTGACTGACTGTCTTTTGCTGCAGGCTTTTTGCAGCTTAGCTTACACATTTGGTTCGCGGCACTCTTAGCAGCTGTAAGGAATACACTTCTTTGACGTTTGTCTGTACCACAATAATAGAGTGAAAAAAAGTCAGCCATCTTGTTTACCGGAATAGACTTGAGGCTTTGATTCCTCCCTAATGCTGCGGTTAGACACCTGTGATGTTGTGTGGATCATTCAGACATCTGTAAATAGCATTTCTCCCAATGAAGTTGAACTTATTTGTGGAGAACTTATTCACGCAAACATACACACCCCTCCCTCCCCCAGCAAAGAGACAGATTGGTGGTGCCTTTTGACCCTGTGAGGATTAACACAATATTATGAGAGAGACAAATCTAATGAGAAAACCTTTTCCCTGGCCTAGATTCATCCCCATCACACACAGTTCATCCACTCTTTCACAAAATTTACTTGTTCATAGCGCGGGTCAGTGCAGTGCTGAGGCCTTAGGCCAACCGCGACTCCCACAAAAAATGTTCAGAAAAAAGCTTGTGCTGCACAATGTTTCCTCCTGCTGTTGCTGATTTTTTTTTATTATTATTCAGTGAACTACATTATTATTGTTATAATTTTCTTTTACTAAGATTTTGTTGCAGATTTCAGTATTATTGATTTAAGTTTTGATGTATGTGTTGGCAGTGCTGACGCCCCCGTGGCGACTGTTTTTTTTTTTTTTTTTTTTTTTGGTAGAATTCACAGTGTCCTCAGAGTTCCCCGATATATGACACTAAAGCAAAGTCTCAGCCCTCAGAAAGCATTTTAAAAGGATAAATAAAGTTTTTTCCTATGGAAGCTGCTTGTCTCTTGTGTTTGTGACCTCTTGTCTATGTGAGACACAATGAGAGAGAATGAATGAATTTGCATGTGTTTTTGCAGCAGTCATTTTCTGTCCGATGTACTCATGCTATATATCGGTCTTTCTGTCTTGAATACACACAAACACAAACTGTGCTGCTTTTTCAAACATAACAAGCTGTCTCAGCGAGTGACGTTCTCTGTGTCACAAATATTTAATAATGCCTCTGGGTATCTGTACCCGGCCACTCAAGACTCACTCACAAACACTCTTGTTTGACTTCAGCGCATTAAAGTTTCATTGAGTGGCTGGACTGCAAAAGCATTCTGTCTCATGTCTAACGGTATTTGTGGAAGTATTCTGCTGTCTGCTATCTTGATGCAGGTTTGCGTTATGCTATATTAAAACTTTTGACAATATTTCTGATTTATCATGCACATTCATTTTTGTTTGGCCATAAAATGTTGACTTTTGAAAGGGATTTTAAGATTATGAGATCATCAGAAGACTTTTGCCAAAAGTGAACTTTTTCAAAGAGCAGAAATACCAACCCAGGCTCATTGGAAATATATGCATGTGGTGACATTTTTGCAAACTGATATTGCATTGCTTCTTGCACGTTTCAATTGAAATGTCCAATTAGTCGCTCTAAAAGCACATTCAGTTTTACCCGGAACAGATGAACGTGAATCTGGCCTTGTTTTATTATGTTGGTTGTTGTACATATCCCGGCAGTGTGAAAATAATGTCCGGTGAGTGGCGCTAAAAGGTCAAAGTCCCCATGAAATCAAAATGAACAATTCTTTTTTTATTATGGGATATTACAGTGTTTATCATAAATGATTTAACTGTGAACATCATTATTTATTTTTTTTAAATCATGTGCCGTTATCTTTACTTAAAACTAACTCTTGCTACAACATCTCTGATGAAGTGTTTACTGGCGCGAGGACGGGACAACCTGTCACTCACATCAGATCACAGCAATAGCAAACCACAATCCAACGATCCAATCGATTCCTGATCCTGACGGACAAAATCAAGTCCCAAAGCTTCTTGTTTGAGAAGTCGTTTCACTGGGATATCACAATATGGAAGAAAAGACTATTGCAACTTCCGTTTTATGGCAACTTTTCAACATTTATCATGGCAACTTGTACTGCCTACCCTAAACTCAAGTCTTAACTTAACAAATAGTATTAACAAAAGCAAATGTGAGATAAAACACAGTTTCTAAAGTAACCATACCATTTTAAATGGCTTTTACATGTTTTTGAGCTCTTTTATCATGTCTGCATCAGAAGCGCAGTACTGTATCAGTTGAGCTAGCAAAAAAACGTATACACAACCATATATATGGAGCTGGTTATGTGATACAAATGTCAAAATATATCAGTTTACAAATCATGCACAGTGGTAAAAGCGTTTTGAGGTGATAAGACCCTGTCCCAAATGGCACACTTTATATGCACTTTCGGTCTTGAGGACTTACAATGGCTGCCACGAGCTCGTGTCCGTTAAGTCCACGAGCACCCCCTTCGCGGTCAATATGCACCCTCGATGCGCACTTTTGCCAAGCCGTAGGACTCGTATAAGACCGCGAGTGCTTAGGGTGCCATTTGGGACAGGGCCACAGTATTGCACAAGTAGCAATACATGCAAATATGTCTTAATTGATTTATAATCTGCCTCCATAATCATAATTTGTTTGAAAAGGAATAAAAGTTGTTGCCGTTTTACTACCTCTAATGTTCATTTCAGCTGGATATGAACCAGAATCCTCTATAGGTACGTTTTTGAAGTTTTGCAAAAACATGGGTAGGCATGTATAGAGTGCTGCAGTGATGATGTATTTTGTAGGCCAACCTGGATGTTAGCATCACAATGGGTCCCTCGACAAAATCCCCAATAGGATTTTTCCATAGGCTTTTGAATTATCGCAAAACATAAGCTCTCTGATCAACAAAAGTTTATGATTCTTGCACGTTTTGTCCATCAAGATAATTTTACAAACACAACTTTAATGAATTTTGAAGCTGAAATACAATCGCCAGGAATAAAAAGCTAACCTTAAGACTATGAATGAACTACACCAGGGTCGTTCAACTTCTATGTCACCACCACCAAGCTTCCGACAACTCTTTCAGTCTTTGTTAAAAAAAAAGAAAAAATCCCAGAAAGTGCAAGTTAAACTAGTTTGCAAGAGT